TGGTAGTTGTGGTAGGCCTGATGGGTGTAGTACTCGCAGGGTTGTGGTGGTAGTTGTAGTAGGCGTTGTGGTCGGCATTGTAGTGTTTGACTGAGCAAGCGTTGTGGTTGTAGTAGTCGTTGGTGTTGTACGTGTGGTATTAGTATCAGCCGTTGTGGTGGAAGTAGTTGCAGCCGTTGTGGTGGGAGTAATTGCAGTCGTAATGGTGGTAGAAGTTACGGGCACTTTGATGGTAGTTGTAGAGCTAAGTGTTTTGGCGGTAGTAGTCGCAGGAGCTGTGGAGGTAGTTGTCGACGTTGTGGAGGTCGTTGTCGACGTTGTGGTGGTAGTAGTCGCAGGAGCTGTGGAGGTAGTTGTCGACGTTGTGGTGGTAGTTGTCGACGTTGTGGTGGTAGTTGTGGATGTCGCTGTGGGGGTAGTTGCAGTAGTTGGGAAGGCCACCATTTGAAGACAGATATACGCCCTCCCTGCCTCCACGGGAACACAGGTGTCATATTCCCCACACGTGTGACGCCCACAGATCCCCTCGGGTAGCTTCTGACAATGGAAAATGTTTGTCACATGAAGAAATTCCGTTCAAGTGACCGTGAAACTGCCGTGAAGGTATTTTATGTAAAGTCTTTGGTGGAAGTGTAGAGAATTTCTGCATTCAGTCATTCATACCTAATTCAGAGCTCCAAAACACATTGTGACATTCGGTATGTTCCATTGCATGTAAATTTACATCTTTGCGCCGACCATACCAAGTGAATACAATGTAATGAAGCAGCATGTAGCTTGATTAATATACTCAGCATAATAGTTTGAAACGTTATTCACATTTGAAAAGACATATTGTGAAAACGTTGAAAGCTTCATGGAAAACAACAGAACAAAAAGTTTTTGATGACATCACGTATGCTACTGTGCATAAAAAGGCTGAAAAACGTTAATCGTCAGTACAAAACAAGGTTAAATAAAAGACTATGAGCATTCCATAAAAGTACCTGGCAGTATCGAGATGTCCGAGAACAACCAATCAGTCTTTTTTATAACGCGTGTAGGGTCCGCTTGCATTGATCATTACTAAGCCTATTACCCTACGCTTCACGCTATGTATTCAACTCTTAACTGTTCATTGTGGCACCAACTCCCATTCCTCATGTAATGCAGACCGATACAGTTTGAACTGGTAGGCATCTTTGAAAGTAACGCAGGGGATTATTACGACATGGAGTTGATATGCCCTCCTGCACAAGAAGCTCGACTTCATCCCTTGCTCCGTGACTTTGTAAGGGATGGTTGTCGAAATGTGGCACTACGATGTGTTAAAGGATTTCAGTGCAATATTCTTCCCGTTCAGTCACCATATCCAATTTGCATTATACGAAGCACATCCCCCGCCACATCATTACTGGCTGCCAACCACCTTGAAGGGTTGCTCGAACGTGTTTGCAGCTCATATCCTGTCTACAAACACGAATTCGAGCGCCAGAAATATCGTTTACACACATCAGACTAATGGAGCCTGCTCTTAGTTCTCAAAGTATCTGTGTGTCAATCGTTTAGGGATATGTTTGTCAGTCCTCTGGGGACGTTTAAGAGGTCTACGAGCTCAATATATCGCAGTCTTGAGACTGTTCCTCTGGGCGGGGAGTCGCCAGTCGGTATTAAGTTGATTCCTCAGTACAGGTGCACTGATGAAGGGGTCGGGTCCTTCATATTTAAACAGATCGAGATCTTAACGAACAGATGCTGCCTTAGGTGTTCCGGACATTGGTCGGTATTAGTGTGGGCACGTTCTTGTCCCAATCTCCGGATAACGCTAAGGTAATACCGTACCTGTCTTTCAGTAGCCCAACATGACATCCCTCCATTTTTTATTCAAAGTATCCTCCACCTTTCGTCAGTAGAGAGTCCGCGTCTTCCCATTTCACAATTTCAATGAAAAATGTTTGTTTGAATTACAGACAATGAGAAAATGACCCACAAACGATGATTTCTGAACTTGTTGGACCTCGTTACCCAAGGCGACGTTCACAGACTGCAGGTCCATTGCGGATTGAAGTGTATCACTTAAATATATTTTAACATTACTTTCCATTCAAACAATTAATCACAATTGATTTTGGAGACACTTAACTTTTTGTACGAAGTATACTAAACAAACAAGAAACTTACCATACATTAAATGTTGTTCACTGGTCCGAACACCTTAATGTTAATTTTGAATTGTTTGAAGCACGGGTACAAATCTTTTTGTAACCATCGCTAGATTTTGCTGACAAGAAAAACAGATTTAGAGTTATCTCCCTTCCATCGATTTGCATTCGCAAAACATCGGTAATTTCCGTAAACCATACGTGATTCAATGTTATTCGAGAAGTACCAATTGAGTTGCCACTGACAGCGGGGTACATTGAAATGTTACTCGCTTGTAAGCGGGGTACATTGAAAATAACAGAAGAACGCTCAGCCAATCAGAAAGCGACATTTATGTGTGAGGTAAGATAATACTTTATGTCCTAAACACAAGCATATTTAAGAAAGTGTGCTGCTGGTGGATCAGCCTCGGTTATCGGAGAAAGCAGATTCCAACGGGCGTAATACTGGTGAAACTTACATTCATGGATCATTGAAGTGGTTGGGGGGTGTAGCAGAAATCCAAGTAGGTTCAAAACAGACCTAGTGGTTTAAACTCGACTGGGCCACCCATTTCTCTATTCGTACCCAGATATACAATGAATATGTCCCACCCCAAAACGCCTGGACATGATTAGTTATCATTGCCTTGTACCTGTTTCAAGCTACTGGCTGTTTTGTCCCTTGACTTTCGTTTACGTAACCGGCATATTCTCAAGTCCGCCTCCCAGATGAAAGAACCACACCTAGTGGTGTAGAGGCACAGATGATCACACACCGGGAAGGACGGCACCACTTTGGTGTTCAACAGACTTCTGTAACTACCAGGAACAGAACCAACAGAAAAAACTGCTATGTTCTCTATCTTCACCAAACTTTGATTTCAGCAAGAACCTGTTGACGTGGTCTCCGAGAATCCATCCATTTACAACACATAACCAGTGTACAAGAATTCACATATTATTTACATATGACAATGGATGCTTCATTTAGTTTGTGTGAAGTCATATATAATAATTAGTCATAAACTTTATTTTATGTCAGAGAAATGAATTGATTTTTGAAATTTGTGTATTTGTTGGAAGGTCCCATATGTGTGTTTGTGTTTGTGCAGTTGCCACGGTTGTATTCAATGTTCAAATGTAATATTGAGCGAAATATGTTGATAACGCTCAAAATTAACAGAATTAAGTTAAAATAAGTTGGATTATGTGTCATGACACTTATAAACATGCTTTCATTCATTTACAACTTCCAAAACATAAATTTTGAGCAAAAGTAAATATTCACGGGCGAGGTTGTTTAAACTTAAATTTGTCGAGCAAACAAAATCTTTCTTTTTTTCAGATCTATTCCTGATAACTAGATGTTGAATTTTGTCAAATCCTTTGTCAGAAACTGGCCACAGAGTGGAGCATTTCTGGATTTCTTGGTTTCAAGAATAAAATGGTGACGTGTTTTTACATTTCATGGACGAGTGAGTGAGTGAGCATGGGTTTACTCAGCTTTTAGCAATATTCTAGCAATATCGCAGCGGTGGACACCAGAAATGGGCTTCACACATTGTACCCATGTGAGGAATCGAACCCGGGTCTTCGGCGTGACGAGCGAACGCTTTAACCACTATGCTACCAAAACCGCCCCGCGCGATTTTGGCGCCCAATAGCTAGTTCATACACAAACAATGAAGAACATGAACTAAACTACAATGACATGATAAACAGAATCAATAAAATTGACAGAAATGCTGCTGCACAGAGATAAATAATTCCTTGTGCGGCATATGCAAAATATACGATGTGTATAGGTGTGAAGACCTTGCAGAAATAAACCTTTCGCGTACACCTGGTATCAACACTATTTTAATAGTGATTCATTAACACATGCACACGATAGAGTCGGCTTTGTGCAATCGACTCTGCTTATAGCATATGCTTATGGATGTGGATAGGGTTTTCTCGCTTCTCTTTTCACATCATGTTTCACATCAACACATTCTTTTGTTGGAATCCTTGTCATTACCGTTTGTATTTCATGATCTTCTACTTGAACAGACCCGTGAAGATCCGGGGTAGAATACGTCTTCAGCAACCCATTCTTGTCATAAAAGGCGACTATGCTTGTCGTAAAAGGCGACTAACGGGATCGGGTGGTCAGGCTCGCTGACTTGGTTGACACATGTCATTGGTTCCCAATTGCGCAGATCGATGCTCATGCTGTTGATCACTGGATTGTCTAGTCCAGACTCGATTATTTACAGACCGCCGCCATATAGCTGGAATATTGCTGAGTGCGGCGTAAAACTAACTCACTCACTCACTCACTCTACTTGAACAGTATTTATTACAAACTATATTTGCTGTATATCCATGAAACCCCTGTAAACAGTAACTAAAATTTACAGGACCATTACTGACAGAAATATTATGTATTGATGTCAGCTAACATGTTCAGAGGAAATTGCAATGTAATAACTGTTATTTTACCATCAGAACTTCATTTCCTTCACAAGAGTTGATCTATGAACATAACTAAAATTTCATTCAAATGCCCGCAACTTGCAATATTGTTGAACATTAAGCCATGCAAGACAAACAAGTTGGTTTCAGTTACAATCCTGTGAAAAGGTATTGATACGTGGACACAGTAGGAATTCTATTACATCGTAGAATGAAATACCCGTTCCATAGTAAAAAAAAGAGTTTTACATAAAGTATATTATACTCCCAACTCTTAAATAATTCGCAACTCGCATGGGATTTCAGTCTAGTCATTAGGCTCTCGGGTTTCAATTCCTCGAGAGTTCATTTCATTAATCTTTACAGGAATTACATTTTTATTTGCATACGCTTCGTTAAGGTGATCTACAAAGGATTCGCAATACAGAAAATGTATCACCTTCTTTATGCCAAAGTATAAAATATCGAAGCAATTAATTAATCATGAAAGGGGTTTAAAACGAATTATTGTGTAAAGTGGTATGATTTGGTTCGTCGGTAAAACAACACCAAAGAGCAGGGCAGAACTGCCACTTGGTTATGAATCATTCACTGTTAATCTATCCCTCATATCATTACAAATGTAGGGGGTAATATAATAACGGCTGTTTGGATCTGGTTAATCATTGCTAGCGTGTGCGGTGCGTCCAGTCCCGTCTGTGTACGACTCTCTGTGTGAGAAGACACAGTTTTCAAAGTAAGTAATCCTCTATCACATTGTTTTTCTTCACGGTTCTGTTTATAGTGGTTTCCTGTTTTATAATAGGTCTTTTGTTTTATGATAACAAACATTGGGATCGAGTGGCTATCATAATAATGTGGTTCTCTGATACTGAAAACCAGCAGCCTTGATCGACATGGCTTCGAACTGGAAACCACTTGTCTACTTAGCTAAAACTCGATTATTGAGAGGAGAGTTAAAATATTGCTATCAAAGGAGGTACTCTTCGAAAGAGTCATTCTCACATCATAAACTGGCTTTAATCATAGTTGTTTACGAGCCATGGTTAATATTTTCAATGGATATATTGTTACAATTATGACTAAAGTACTGTTGGAAATAGAAAAAAACTGTTTTTAGGCTGTTACTCTGTATCACAAAAATTTACACAATTGCAAATAGCATATGTCGAAATAACCCACTTCGGCCTATAGTTTGGCATGAAATGCATGTGGTCTTAAAGGTAAATGCACGTGCAGTTTATGATAGTTACCTGTGCACTGCACAGTGATAGACCGTTTGGATCATTCACATTGACTACTTCTAGCTGTCATCATGAAAGCTTATTCAGATGATGCTAAACGTTTAATTAGCAATGTGTTGAATTTTTTTCAAAAAGAGAGCAAACTTAGCAAACCGATTTATAAGGTGTCGGATTACATGAAACGTACAACTTTTGCTCTTGGCATGAAAAAGAACATCGTGCTAAAAATTGTGAAAAATAAACCAACAACCAATTAACAAAACCTTGTACAAAAAGGTAGGCATCCAAAGTTAGATTCTTTTGACATCAGGGTCATCAGCATAGCTGACCTACATTGACGAACGTTGACCTTTATGACCCAACACTGCCGCTGTTACAGGTCATTGGCTCCCTCCCTCTGCAAGCCTTCTGCGTTCTGCTGTTTATTTTGTTGACAGTTACATAGACAGATTCTTTAATACAAATGCATAAAATCGGTGATTTACAATGTGATTAGGTTGTCTGACAAAACATCCACTTGCACAGTTTGAGATCGATTGGGTTATTGGATGAAGAGATATTTACAAAAAAAACGGGTCCAGCACTACCGCTGTTACAGGTCATTGGCTCCCTCCCTCTGCAAGCCTTCTGCGTTCTGCTGTTTATTTTGTTGACAGTTACATAGACAGTTTCTTTAATACAAATGCATAAAATCGGTGATTTACAATGTGATTAGGTTGTCTGACAAAACATCCACTTGCACAGTTTGAGATCGATTGGGTCATTGGATGAAGAGATATTTACAAAAAGCCGGGTCCACATGCATTTCATGCCAAACTATAGCTGGGCGTTCAGTGGGATGCGTAATACGATATCCAGAAAAGCATGTTTATTCGTAAAATCGGGCAAAACTTAGAAAAAATACGAATAGCTGCTGAAAACAATAGATCAGACTATAGATAGCAATTAGGTCGCTCAGCCAGGTATGACGTCGGACCGTCGACTCACCTGGCATGAAATGCACGTGCTGCCTACAGGCACAAGGGGTCATCTCAAAGATATTGTGTGCTTTTTCATGTGTGTTGACTATGTCTCATCTTATCTTAGCTGATATCTCTATCCCCAAGCCCGACCCCATGGTTTGCTTTTGAGACGGCCCCTCCTATCTCTTTCTCTTTATAGTGACAGTGAGACTGCATTGTAGCTACATCCTTAATAGTTTCGGCATAAAAGTTATTATTTTTTACGTCAGCTATCGTTTATAATGAATCTACGTCTAATTTCAAATTGGGCATTTAAAAAGTGTCCTTTGTAATACAATATCGTCGCACACTAATTTGCATAAAGCCATGGTCTGATCCAAATAAGTATTTTTGGACTTAGAAAAAAACCGCATTGCTAATTTCTGCACTAATTTCCCCTCAGTCCTTTTTCTCTGTTTTCTATTTCTCTACCACCGAGACTGTAGTTAGGCCGAACTAAGTTTAACAGATATTTCACACTTTCACAAATCAACTACATAAATTGTAGAGATAAATGAGAAAATACAGTTTTTTTCTATTTCCGACAGTACAAGTGAAGATCGGGTGGTCAGGCTCGCTGACTTGGTTGACCCATGTCATCGTACCCCAATTGCGTAGATCGATGCTCATGCTGTTGATCACTGGATTGTCTGGTCCAGACCCCATTATTTTCACACCGCCGTCATTTAGCTGGAATATTGCTGAGTGCGTCATGAAACAACAAGCTAATAAACACGCTTATAACCAATTGATGGATTTAACAGACTGATTTTCTCAAAGGGATGCTTGTTGTGTTTTATGACGTTCAAATATCCCGTTTAGACTGGTGTCTACGTAAAAGGATATACATCTGTTTATTCGCCTTGCTGTTGGCGTTACAGTTTATTACCCAGTTGACCGTGGCAGGTAAGCTTAATGAGGGATGATAGCTCAATGTGACGTGATGCGTGAAAAAACGTTATGGAACCGTTTTGCGCTGAAAAACTGTACAGCAGAGAATTTAATGGATGTCATCCTCTTAATGCTTCTCCTTCTCGCCTGTTCCTTATAATAGAGAGGATGTAACTGATGACATTATTTTCTTCGTGTGTATCACTTTCTAATTCCCTCAGGCATTTGACAACGTCTGTCAGTGCATACACATAAACTACCGGGCAAAAGAAAGTTACCTCTTTTAAAGCAATTGTCTAAAAAACCAAAATGCTGGTACAGGTTTGAACCCGAGTAGAAACCATTCCCCATAACGCAGCATGGTCTCGATAACAACGCATCTGTCCGAAAACGTCATACGAATTGTACATTTTTCAAAACGTGAAAAAGGTAAAGTTTGCGTTACAATAGACGCAATGCAGATGCAAATGTGTCATAAACACAGAGTGACTGAGTGAGTTAATATTTAACGTCACATCGGCAATATCTCAGCCACATATACACAGCGCTCATGCTTGGACCAAGCAAGCATGCCAAAAAATACCATGAATATACCAAGACTTACGCAAGCCCAACGAGACAGGGCGATATGGGGGCTTCACAACGTCAGGCTGCAGGAAGCTTCCACTGCAGCAACGAGACCATCAGCAAATGGTTAAACCGCTACCAGCGAGCAGGCCAGACCCAAGACCGCCCAAGATCGGGAAGACCAAGAATCACGACACCGGCCGAAGACCGCTACATCCGGCAGATCCACCTCCAGTCGTTTCAGAGTTCTAGTTACTGTCGCTAACCTGCGTTCATGCAGTTCATACATTCGATGGAGGAGGTGTCATGGTATTGGGTGGAATTTGTGGCCAAAGAACAACAAGACTGGTTATCATCAGAGAAAATCTGAACGCCCAGCTATACAGGGATGAAGTGTTGAGAGCTTTTGCGGTGCCCTTTATTCGAAACAGCCAAGAAGAGTCAAAAATTATTTTATATTGTAAAATAATTATCATACATCTCACATACGTCTTTGATTCTATTTTTAGTCAAGTGAAGTCGGTGATAACTTTCTGTTGCTCGGTAGTATATTAACTCAACATTCACCTAATAAAGAAGCAACGTAGCTCTGAAACGTCATGTAAGTTAAAGTTACCCCATTGGCACAGGAGAGATTTGTCTAGTTACAACACGGTTTGTCCTGGCTTTTAATTGACAGGCGTAGGGCACGATATTTCACCTTCCCAAGTTGGTGAGGCGATGGAGTTGAATTTAAAGTTTGAGGACCTAACTTTATCCCAGTCTTTGAACATTTACAAAGTGAGTGCAAGCGACCAAATTGAGCTGGATGTTGGATTATTTGATCTTCAATTCGACCCGTTTTCTGAAGAAATAAGCCTGATGACATTACTAATCCTGTTGACCCACCCGCTCGAACTGAACGATTAGCGGAAATCGTATTAGAAGACGATATTTTGCAATGCATAGCTGATGCTGAAAGTAAGAACACTCGAAATAATACGAAGTGAGCGATGCGTGTTTTCGACCAATGGCGAGGATCACGACAAGATATTTGTGTACCAGACATCAAACACTCTACAGCCGCCGATGTAAACAACTATCTGTTCAGGTTTGTGTTGGAAGCGCGAAAGGTAGATGGTTCAGAATATCCACCCAAAACCCTCTATCTCTTATGTGCCGGTTTGCTACTTCGCATGCGGGAAATATGAAACATCGTCGAGAAACTGAGAAACCTTTATGGGAAAAGAATTGCTTGGGGATAAAACGAGCCAAAGTCTCCTGAACACAGTTTTCTTCTACAACTTTAAACATTTCGGACTCCGAGCCTGTGATGAACATAGAAGCCTACAAGCTAATCAAATTTTGGTTGGGAAGATCAGATGGGACCATATATCGAATTCCGTTGAACTACAGCCAAAAATTACACTGGAGGTTTGGCACACCGGGCAGTCGAGGCAAAAGTATTGCGTCATCCCTCCACTGCAGACTTACCACACCTGTATGATCTGTATCTAGCCAACAGTGGGACGTTTCACAGGAGACCCCTTTCGGCTAAAGGAAATGACAACATTCGATTTTCCAGCCAGGTGATTGGTGTCATCAAACTGAGCCCTTTAGTGAAGAATATGTGCACTTCTGATGGTATTCCTGGCTACTTCACAAACCACTCCAGGAAGGGCACGTGTGCTACACGTTTGTACGAAGAGGGAGTAGAAGAGCATGAAATAATGAGAATAACCGGGCACAGAAGCGCTGAGGCAGTGAGAAAATACAAGCGAATGTCACAGTCTATGTTGTCAGCCATCAAAAACAAACTGGATCCACCTCTTGCACCTAAACGAATGAAAACGAAGCCCTCTGCCACTGTAAACACAGCGTCACAAGTCACGGAGACGGCGGTGTCCACACCATCTATTGTGTATCAAAACTGCATCTTTAACTTTTAATTCCAGATTGAAAACAATCAGACGAACTTGTGTATCGGAACTGTTTCTTTAAATTTCAATTCAAGATTGAAAACAATCTAAATTATAATTTCTTTGCTCTTTTTG